GCGGTTGGTTCACCTGATATGGCTTCGCTGATAGGATAATCAGGGGAGTCCAAACTCTGAAAGCCCCTCTCAAACCCGTTACTCTTCAAAAGCACATATTCTGTTAGTTCCAAAGAAAGTCATACTGTCCAGTGAGAAGGAAAAATAAAGTAAAGAAAAAGAGAGCATTTATTTACATGAGCATCAGTCTCAGATTGCTCTACAACAGCACATCTGCTACGGTATTCGTGAAGTTCTTGACGAAGATCCTGATTAGTGGCCTCCAGCCAGGCAATCCTTTCCTTGAGAACCTGTTAACCACAAACATCATTTAAACTACCAGGCAAATATGTCCTCGGGAAAATGATAATGAAACAATTGCTGAGATGGAAACACTGTAGAAGGTAATACTTGTACTTCTTCTGAAGTAACCCCTCCACGAGAAAAAAGTTCTGCTTGTAAGTACTCTAGTTGCTGACGCATTTTCTGCATCTCATTGGATATTATATCTCTATTCACCTGTACAAGAAAAGGTAACATATGTCTGGTTACTTGTGATGACTATTTTTTAAATGACAAGATACTACAGGATTCCACAAATTACAATACACATATGAAAGGAGTTAAGAAAATGGTGGTGAAGTGGAATACTTTTCATTTCAGTATATGGACCTCAAATCAGAAGAAGTTTCTCAGTTAATATGCCTAAGTGTTGGGGGAATAACAACATAACTAGAAAGGAAATTAAATAAAAAGCTTACAACAGGCTTATTCTGTATATTGCGTGCCCGATTGGCATACTTGAGAGTATTTAGACTTTCCTCTGCATTAATATCGGCAGGACTGATACAAGCTGGAAAAAGAGTTGACATTAACATTATGAGCAAAGAATGAAAGAACTCAAGCAGCAAAAATCAAGATGTATAGGAACAATTTCTGATTGTATAGCTAAACACATGATGCATACAGCCTCTGAAGAGAGTAAAAGTGAAAACATGGCGAGCTATTAGGAAGCAGAATAACAAAATTAGAACTTCTTGAATATATACAGAAGCAATCATTATATGTCTAGAATGCACATCAAAGTCATTGGGAGTGAATTTAATCAACTTATCAAACCAAACAAGGAAAAGATTTATAGCCCAGGAGATAGCCACCGTAAAACAGTTAGGGATTAATTAAATAATTTTAGGGATTTACCTATCATAACCGTTTTGCTGTTTCCACCAAGCGAATCCTGGCAAAATGGATAAAGAAAAATCAGATCACTAACAAGAAGAATAGGAGCAAAAACCAATAAAAGAAAAAAAAAAAAGAAAAAAAAGAAAAACAAGTATAGAAGAAATCAAGCAAACAATAATTTTTATATTACTTTACCATGTGCTAATTATAATAGAGAATAGTTCCCTTGTTTTTAACAGTAACAAATCCAACACTTGGACTGGCATAACTTAAAGTCAATAACAAAAAGACTTTTAAGACCAGGAAAAAAAAAAAAAAAACCCTAAATATGCTATATCACAACTCAGCTATATTTAGCCTTGATCAACATGGTTACGGGAGAAATATATATATATATATATATATATAAGAGAAGATAGTTCTTCTAAGCCTATAACATGGTATTATATTAATTGTACAGAATGTGACACCTAGCAATGCATTATAAGAGATAACCTAATCATTGGATATCATTTTAAACTTGTCTGATTAAGTTTAAAGAAAATTGGACCTGCAAGAGACGTGTCAGTTTACTATCTCTGTAGGGAACATGGACACCTTCTTTCCGCTTTTTCTCATCCCCTAGGGCACTGATGACATTACCAAGGGCAAGAAGCCCCCTATTAATGTGTATCCCTGTTCATGAAAATAAGATGGATATTTATCCTCGCAATGCATTATATCATACACATATTAGTGGTAAGGGTATTTATCAACCTTCTTTCAGACGAAGACCATCAGAACCAGTTCGTTTTGCTCGTTCAGATCCAGCAAGATCAACCAAATGGAGCTTTGCACACAAATACTCTTCACCCATATCCTCATCTGGAGTGTGGTCATCAACAGCAGAAACTGAATGGATCTTACGCATCTGTTCCAATGTGATGGTGAAGATGGCATGGGACCGACTTTTGAAAACATGAAAAGGGGAACAACATGTCATTAGATAATGAACATTCATAGACAGGTTATATAAAGCTGAACAGGTCCAGCCTACCATTAAGCATAATAATATAATCCACATTTCTCTTTTAACATTGAAGATAAGAATCACACTCAGATTTTAAAACGTGATATAGATAGCAAACACCAAATAAAATCTATTTAACAGTCCCATAACCACCATATAATTGTCTAACTTATAGAAGTAATAGGGCTTCCTTTTGAAAGTTCCAAGGCATCTTAGCCTTATTTCTCTGTTATATGTGACTATTGACCCTGCACTTTCATTCTCATTTAACACCAGAGAGCTGCTTTCAAAGTTTGGGGGGAATTAGCAGATATTTGTAATGGTCATCATGTAGATAATTAGCATTTAAAGAAGGGGTATGATCACCAATGCTAGACAATGGTGTCCATGAAACATCAAGTCTCATGCTGATTAGAATCCCTCAAACCAGCTCTCAATGACTCAATTCTTTGAAAATTAAAAGTCTTTTGCATTCCAAAATGTGTTGGCTTTGCAAATCCATCAGCAATGCCTCCTTAAGGATGAAGAGAAAACCACACATCCAAGTTTTACCTAGATTGGTTGTTCATATTTGTGCTTCCTGTTGCCCGGCTTATTGATCCTTGCTCCAAGCAAGCAGCCATTTCTTGCAGTGTACTGACAGCAATTTCAGTTGACCCTGCTAGTGTTATAACTCCGTTTGATGATTCACGAATTTGTATTGGTGGTCGTCCAGGGACTGTACCTTTCCCAGCATGTCCATTAGCAGCCACTGATTTGTTTATGGGTACAGAATCCAGAAGATCCTTCACTTCTTCCTTCAGAATCTACAAATTGAAATCCTCAGGTTAGCTCCCTGGGAGTGATAATAAAATGAGAAGGAAGAAACAGTCTGACTATCATATAATTCAATTCATGAAGATGTTCTAAAGAAGTTGCCCTTCTAAGATATCATGTCATTGACCATCAGGAAGATCTACAAACAGCCCAGAGAACAATATCCAGCCACAAAAGCAATAAAGTGTGTTACTGACATTCTGAGAGCACATAACATGGTAAGGAAAGAAACCATAAAGTGTGGATTTACCTCTATGAAGGAAACATGAAGCTGGAATTCTACTTGATGCTTCAGTTGTTCAATTTTCCTGAACAACACATTTATAACTTGAGGAATCAATCCTGTCTGACAACCTTCTTTGAGGCCAGTCCCCATGGTGTATGTCTTCCCTGATCCTGTCTGCAGCACAAATATTGTCAACCACTAACATTTATGGGAAAAAAAAAAAAAATAGCTCAGTTTCCAGCAGCTTTCACACAGTAATAGACATTACCTGACCATAAGCAAGGACTGTAGCATTATATCCTTGGAATAGGCCATCAACAAGAGGAGCAATACATTCTTCAAACATGGAAGATGATGGGGAGCCACTGTTTCCATAGAGATGATCAAATGTGAATGAATGTGTGCCAATTTGTACCTGCACCATAATCAATAAGATTATAATCAATCACTTTAAGACTAATAGGATGAAAAATCAAGGCAATACTATTACACACAGAAATGTTCCTAAAAGTTGTGAAGATGTTAAAATCAGAGAAGTATAATTCTTGTTAATATGTTGAAACCGTCATACAATACCAGCAAATGTATTACCTTATATTTCAGTTGTTCAAAAAAAAAAAAAAAAAAAAAAAACAAACAAACAAAAAAAAGTAAAAAAAAAACAAAGCCTAAACCTAAATGGTGCTAGATCATTCCAAACCTGACTTTCTAAACCCATGTATGCTCATCAAGTTATACAAAACAGATTCATGAAACACAATGAATACAACCCAAATTTAATTACAAAATCAGCATGATTTCAGCAAGCTCGCTCTGAGTTCTTCCGGCATGCAACTTTTCTAATAGATTGAATGTTTAACCCCATCCAAATCCTTCAATGATATTGGGTCACAACACCTTTAGTATCCAAATAGAAATTTCCATAGTTAAGATCAGGAACAGAGGTCATAAGATCAACAGTAACACCACATTAAGAAGGTCAAATTAAAAACCTGCAAATCTGAGTGGTACTGAGTTTTCCATTTTCCAGAGCCAAACAGGAACAATGAACTTATCGATTTATTTACTACAAAATACGCTAAAATAAATTAAATTAAAGATAAGGAGAAAATAGTAGCTTCTGAACTTTGCATGGCCTGTTTTTTCTCAGAATGAGTTAAAAAAAAAAAAGAATAGAAAATGATCCAAGAAAGAATCAAATAAAAAGCTAATTTAATTATCGCAAAAATTGAAAACTAAAATCAATTAAGCAAGAACATTTGATTTTATTCAAGTTAAACCAAAGGTATTAAGATGAAGAAACAAGAAAAGCCGGCAGCGGAGTTT